ATCAGAACAATAAAAAAAGCATTTAAAAACATAAATGTGGGCTTTATGAAAAGTATGTTTAATATCTGCTTGAAGGTTATTTTCATGTTCTTTCATTCTGCCAAATGAGCCTCGTTGGGGCGTATATTCTACTTTATTGACTATTACTGTACCTTTAGCTATAAACCTGTAGCTTCTGCCAAAGTTATGGGCAGCCTCTCATAACAACCACAAACTCTAAAATGTAGCCTGTGAACTTTGGTACTTTTATTTCGTTCATAAAAATGAGCAAAATTTATTGTCATTTTAACCTGGATTTGAAGTTGACTGAAGTAAAAGAGAATTTATTTTGTTGCATTGTACAAATGCACTCAGTCGTTCAAAAATGAAAGTACTAATGGGTAAATCAAATATAATTATTATTAATTTTAAACCAATGTAAATACATTTATTAAGCATTAATAAGATTTTTGCTTTTTAGAAAACTTAAGACAAAAATAGTCTGGAGAAAATCGGATGTTCCTCCATAATCTGTTTTCTTTCTTTGACTAATCAACTCCTAAACAATAAATAACAATAAAATTATTTGTCCCATAGGTGGTGCTGTTACTCCAAACCAGACAGGTTCAGTCAGATTTGACCCTTTTTTGAGTAAACAAAGCTTGATATCCATTACTAATGTGAGTAAAACCCACTGAAGGCTCATTTAACACACATGTTTAGTCAGTTTGCCTCTGGAAATAAAGGCCTCCCCACACGACTCGCAGGAAAACGGCTTCTCGCCTGTGTGAGTCCTCATGTGGACAGTCAAAGTGTATTTCTTGGTGAAACTTTTACCACAATAAGGACATGAGAAAGACTTTTCACCTGAGTGGGTTCTGACATGATTGAGCAGTATAGTGTTGTCAGTGAAAGACCTTCCACATATATCGCAGGAATATGGCTTCTCGCCTGTGTGGGTTCTCATGTGAATAGTCAAGTTGTGCTTTCGAGCGAAACTTTTCCCACAGTCTATGCAGACATGCGGCTTCTCGCCTGTGTGAATTCGGATGTGTCCGTTCAGACTTCCTCGCTCCCTGAAGGTTTTCCCACAGGTCAGGCACGGGAATGGCTTCTCGCCCGTGTGAATCCTCATGTGACGAGCCAGATCGTAGCTGTAGTTGAATGACGAGTCGCAGACTTCGCAGGCAAAGGGCTTCCCATTCGTGTGAGCTCTCACGTGAAAGTTGAAGGTGATCTTCCTGATGAAACGTTCCCCGCAAATATGACACGAGAAAGGCTTCTCACCTGTGTGGGTTCTCATGTGGACGTTCAAGTCGTAGCGTCTGGAGAAACCTTTTCCACAAGTTGAGCAGGAACAGGGCTTCTCGCCTGTATGGGTTCTTGTGTGGCTGGCCCACTGGCTGGTGGTTCTGAAGGATTTATCACACAGTTCACAAGGATAGGGCTTCTCGCCCGTATGAACCCTTTCATGTTTGGTAAGGTTGTTTTGCTTGGTGAAGGTTTTCCCACAGGTCTCACATCGGAAAGGATTTCCAGCGATGTGGATTTTTGTGTGGCTGGCCCACTGGCTGGTGGTTCTGAAGGATTTATCACACAGTTCACAAGGGTAGGGTTTCTCTCCCGTGTGAATTCTCATGTGGACGGTCAAATTATTCTGCTTGTTGAAACCTTTGCCACAGGTCGCACACTGGAAAGGCTTCCCGTCTTTGTGAGTCCTCAGGTGAGCTGTCAGGTATCGAAGTTGAGTGAACGTTTGGCCGCATGTTTCACAGGAAGGCAGGTTCTTTTTACACCGTTTCTTTCTCGGCTTCAACTCTTTATCTCCCAAGGCTTTCAGGTTGCTTCCTTGCTGATGGTTCTCACCATCAGGAGAATTTGCAGAGAAAAGTTGAACTTTGTTTGGCTCTGGTTGACTCTCTTCTTTAATCTCTTGCTTCACTACAAGCCACTTTTCATCTTGGTCCTCCTGTTCCTCCTTAATCAGCACCGGTTCTGGTTCCTCTTTAACCTGCTCACCAGTCTCCATCATCTGCTCCAGTTGCGGTACATTGTTAACGACGTCCTCATGGGCAGAAGTCACCAAAACCATTTCTATCTCCTGCTTAACTAAAAGCTTCTCTTCATCCTGACAGAGGCGAAACTCTCCCGCTTCTTTTTTGACTGACTGAGACTCTGGATCCCTGCTCATCGTCGCCATCGGCTGGGATTCTGGTTCCGACTGCTCCTCCTTCATTGCTTGACATTTAGTTCGTTGAGACCAAGACTGGAGGTCCTGTCGGAAATGGGAAAGTGATCAACCTGCAGGAAAAACAGAAAATGTTTAATGTTAAGATTGCTAAAAAGCAAAAATGTTTTCCTTTTAAGATTTTATCAAAATGTTTAAAAATTGCTTTTAAAATTAATCAGAAATCAAAACTACAAATTATATATGAAAAATATGAGTTAATATTTACACAGCAAATGGCAAAGAGCATAAATATTATTTAAAATAATTTTAAATCTTTTGAAAAATTAAAATAATAAAGCCTGATGTATATTCTTTTCATGTTTGCTTCATTGATAAAACTTTTTAGATGTAGTTCAAACCAGATTATGTCAAAGCTGTTAAATTGACAAAAGAGTACTTAGTTTTTAATGTCGCTACTTCCCAAATTAGGGAAGTAGACTCAAGAATTTAGTTTTTTAATTACAAGAATAAAGTTGAAACAATGTGAAAATAGTCATAATATTAGCAGAATAAATTTGGAATATTAGCATAAAATGTGGTAAAATTACAAGTAAAAATAATTTTAAAGAACAAACAAAAGCTTCAGTCAGTGATCCAGATCTAAACCATGTAGAACTTATTAAATTACTACTTTTTTCTCCTAGTACTATTAGTTCATTCTAGTATTATGACTTTATTCTCTCAATTTCAAAAACAATTCTCTTAATTTTGCAATGAAACATTTCATAACCATTCCATGAAGCACGATGTTCATTTTCTTCGTTTAATCAGCATATTTGTCCGTTTGGGGAGTTAACTCTTTGATAAATTACAGGACTTGGTCTAACAGGAGAAGAGGAGTGGGGGATATGATGCTGATTTAAAGCATAGAAGAACTTAATTTGTAATAATTTCATGTTGCAAAAAGTGGACTAGGACCTCGTGGACCTGTATAGCAAAAATTTCAGATGTATTTAAAACACTGTAATGATGAAAAAGTAAAGTATTGTTTCAACAATAGCAACATCAACAACAAAAGAAAATTCAATCAATATTCACCCAGTACACTGGGATTAAAAAATCTGTTTTATTCCTTAAGTGACAAATATAAAATTATTTTGTTCTAATTATTTTTGTTCAAATAGATGTAACTTCAGGGATTAAGAAATTAACATTTATTTTTCTTGGTGTTTAACTATATAGAGCAACGTAATACATTTTGCTTGGGGTTTATAACAGTTAACTAAAAATGCAAACTCCCTTTAGTCCCAATAAAACCGCAGCTCCGGTCACTTAAATACTTCTTTGGCTGAAGTTGCCTCTGCCAACATGGCGGCCACGCTGACATGTTGCTGCAGCTCCGCCAGTGTAGCAGATAGGCAAGCTAGCACTTATTGCTATTGGTTAAAAGACAAGGTCCTCTTACCGATAAAACTCGTTTTCCACTTAAATGAGAAGCTCATTAAACATCCCAGGATCCAATAAATGTCCAGCATTGTCTGTTTTTAAGACATTCGTGCTTTTGGCTTCAATGAAACTGGTTGCTTCTGTCCCTCGGGGAGTTAGCTTTTCAGTTAGCTCAGAGGCTAACTGGTTTCCCTCAGGCTGTTACTGTTGACAAAACGGAAATGAATCGGCGTTAACGGCAAGCTGTAACTACTATCGAAGCCTGGGATGGAATACCGTTTTAAGTAGTCTTTAAATGAAGAGCACGGAGCTTTTCGCCCTCTAAATTGTTCGTAGCGACCCAGGTTACAGAGACATTATCGCGATTTCTCTGTGAGGATGTTTCCCAACATGCTCTGCCCTGCTGCACAGTGTCATCACCGCTGGTGCATTAAAGTACACCTTTAATGCACCATTAAAGGTGTACTTTAATGGTACCATTATATATTTATAAATAGCCTACATTTATAAAAAAATTTACTTATAGTGAAATAAAGTGATCACCACAGTCATATTCAGCACTTTCTAAGCAACATGATACTAAGGATAAAAGAACTAAAAATAATTTAGTTGCTTTAACATTTAGGTAGAAATGAGGTTTAGATTAAGGCGCCATTGAAATGTTTTAATTTCATCGCGTTTTATCACTAAAACCACTAAAAATGGCTTGTTAGTCTGCTTGATTGGGTCTAATGTTTTCAGAATTACTTAACTTCGAGGTATTTTTCTATTAATTTTCTGACTTGAATACATATAGACTAAGAATGATCAATGATGTTCCTTTACTTCAACCTTAATTGGATAATTTTGCATATTTTTATGCAAATTAAAGTATATAAGTTACTTGTTGCTCTTTTAAGTTTATTTATAGAGTTGCTTGTTCTGAAAGTTGAAGACAGAAAACATCTGTTCTACCCTGATGATCTAGTTACTTCATGTGCTTGAGCACAGTAAACAGAATGCACAATGAAGAAAGTCTCTAAGAGAGGAAGCTTTTGGACCACGCAAGAAGAAATGTGTGTGTTTTAAACATTTTTAGCCTCTCATAGCAGGAGCAGTTCTGCAAAAGGACCAATGAGCTTCTGCACAGCTACAGAACCATCTGGGTGCCATGTCACAATGATTTTTGCTTTAAAAAGTAAACAGAAAACCCCAGTACTTCAAAATCCAAACTGAACAGGTATATATTTTGTTGAAATTCATAATTTCTAGATTATTTCATACACAAGGGCATCATTTTATTGGGAAAAGCATTACTGCCGTTCTGTTCATTTGTCTAGCTGTGGTTCTCCAGGAAGCGGTTTCTCTTTGTTATGCAGACATCTTGCATCTGATGCATCGCATGACACATACAAGCACAAACAACTTTTCTCCAAAGCAAAGTAATTTATTAACACAATAGTTTAAACTTACAGTCAAAATACTGAGCCAAACTCAAAGTTATCAACATGCAGCCTGACGACTACACAAAAGAAAAAAAACCCAACAAACTGAGAAACTCATTTATAATAGTGAAATTATAGAAACATAACAATGCAGCAAACTCACAGTTCAGGATGGGATTTAGAATATCAGCCCAAAAGCTAATAAGGAATCAATCAGGGAAACGGGTCAAATGCAGACTTTACAACAGCCAGCCATGCATGAAAGCACCTGCAGGTGTTTCTGCAGGTGAGTTAAGTTTAAACAAAAGATTAGCAACTCATTTGCTTGTTTTTGCTAATAAGTCAATTTAAACAAAGTAGAAGTAGCAGAAGAGAGGGGTAAATGTGTATTTTTACACACGCAGCATTGGGACGGCTGCATGCGCTGGACCGATGTAAGAATAACTAACTGGGGGAAACTAGTGTTTTGAAGATGGCTTGGGAAAAAAGTTTAGTTTTATTTACTCATTTAATCATTATATGTTTTGGAGCAAAGACCAGTGGTAAGTTATTATCCACAGTCTTCAAGTTGTGATAATAATTCAGCTCACTGCTATCTACCAGATGTAAATATATATTTGTTGTTTAAAATAAAGTCAGTTAAAGTTTAAATTCATATTTTATTTTCTTTGCAAAGAGAAGTGATGTCATGATGTGTAAACTAGAACAGTGAGAGTTGTAGAGTAAAACACAGAAATTGATGGAGATTCTAAAAAAAAAGGACTGTAGAAAAAAATAATCAATAGATTAGGTCCTATTAAAATAATTGTTAGTTGCATCCCTAATCTATCCATTTAACCAGCTCTGCACAATAAACTTAGTACTCTGCTTTTAAAACACCCATTAGAAAATATAATCAAGCAATGAAATGGTTGAATATTCAGAAGGAAAAAAAGGATTTAGCAATTTGAAAACCCATCAAGCCAATAAAATAAATCGATATCTGAATCCTAAACTAATTTATCGCTGCCCAGACACAATCCCCTTACTCTGAGATGACTAGCGATAACGTTAAGAATGAAGTTCAGTAAACCTTAAAGGGTCCGATTTTCTTTTTTGAAATTACAATAAGGTCGCCATATCTGTAAAAACAGAGGATATCGGATATTACAAGAAAATTTTGTTTTAATGGCAGCAAAATTATCAAGATCTGACACGACCAACTAGGCAAGTCAATGTGGTCCTTCCTCTGAAATACACTCAGCCATTTGCATAATTGCTTCAATCTACTGACGATAATTAAAAATCAAGTATTTCATTTTTATAAAACTGATACCAAAGTATAACTTCACAAGACATTCCTCATTTTAGTTACTTTTCAGGAAGGAATTCTAATAAAATTACTGCTGTGTTCCATCGTACGATCATAGGACTTTCCTACTTTATTCTCCTGAAATACAACCTCATTCTGGTAATATGACTAATCTGAATATTATCAGAATCTGAATATAATCACTAAAAATTTAGCATGATTGGTAAACATTTCAACCTGTGAACCCTCTGCTGGGTTTCTAGAAATTATTGCTTGATGGAACGATTTCCTATCATGCAAGATGCTTTTCATCTTTTCGAGATCTTATGTGTTGCCTGAAATGACTGTTGTCACTGAAACATTTACCACATGCTTTGCATGAATATGGCTTCTCTCCTGTGTGAGTCCTCATGTGAACCGTTAGATTATATTTCTGAGCGAAACCTTTTCCACAAACGCGACAGACAAAAGGTCTTTCACCCGTATGAACTCTGATGTGTGTTTTTAAACTTCCTTTCTCCCTGAAATTCTTTCCACAGGTCGCGCATGAGAACGGCTTCTCGCCTGTGTGAATCATTTCATGATTAGACAAATGCCAGCTATAATTGAAAGAACTGCCACAGACTTTACAGATATATGGCTTCTCGCCCGTGTGACTCCTCTCGTGAACATTCAAGGTAGTCTTTCTGGCAAAACATTTTCCACATGTCAGGCATGACAAAGATTTCCCACTTGAGTGAATCTGCACGTGCCTGTTGAGTGTGTTTTTATGGGTAAAACATTTTCCACAAGTTGGACATGGAAAGGTCTTCTCCCCTATGTGAGTCCTGGTGTGGCTGACCCACTGACCGTTGGTCCTGAAAGATTTATCGCACAGTTCACAGGGAAAGGGTTTCTCCCCTGTATGAATTGTCCTGTGGGCGGTCAAGTTGCTCTGCTTGGTGAAACCTTTTCCGCAGATGGCACACTGGAAAGGTTTCCCATTTTTGTGAGTCCTCAGGTGAACAGTCAGGTATCGAAGCTGAGTGAAACTTTCACCGCATATTTCACAGGAAAACAACTTTTTCTTCTGTGACTTCAACTTTTTCACTTTATGTACGTCTTTCTGATTGCTTCCTTGTTGAAGTTGGTTCTCATTTTCATTAATGCTTTCAGAGAGGAGTAGGTTTTGGTTCAGTTCTGGTTTACTGGCAGGAGTCACCATGACGCTCTCTGTCTCCTGCTTCACTACAAGCTGCTTTTCATCCTCTTTAACCATTACAGGCTCAAGTTCCTCCTTTATCATGTCGTCACCAGCAGGGGTCACTGTGAAGGAGTCAGTCTCCAGCTTCACTACAAGCAGTTCTTCCTCTGGAGAGACACGAAGTTCAACCTGTTCTTCTTTGACTGGTCGAGGTTCCGGTTCCTCCTGTTCCACTTTCATCTCTAGAGCGTTTGGACTGGAGTTTATCTCTTGGTGAACAAGAAACCGATCAGCAACAACCTCCCAAGAAAAAGTGGACATGGTGGAGCAGAAGACCTGATGGAGAGAAGAACAGAAGCAGAACTTTAACTAGAAGATTTTAACTAAATCTGGAATATTTGGAGTTGCTTGCTCAAGATTAACTGCTGCAGATTCAACAACTTGATGAAATCTCTGCTCTATCATTTAGGGCTGAAACTATTAAAGCAGATTAATTGTGATTAACTAAATAATCATCAGCTAATTTAGTAATCAAATAACTACTAACAAAGTATAGACTCAAAAGAAAACCATTTGCTGAGAAACACAGTCAGAGCTGTAATAAAACTAAAACTATATAAAAAAAAAAAACATTTTGAATTTAAGAAGTCTAAATCCGTTCTACCCAGAATTCCTCAGGTGGTAGTTTCACCTGCATCACATTTTGTTAAAAAAATAAAAATAAAAAATAAAATTAAAAAAAAAATAATAATAATAATAAGAGTTTAAAAATCTCCTATTGAACAACTTTTTCTATCCAAGTATTAATTGCAAACAATATCACCAGATCACCCCTTCACTGTTCTGGACGCTCAGTCCAGCAGGAAGGCCTGAGCTTTTCACATGTTGTTGTTAGAGGTATTTATTTAGCTGCAGATGCTTCCTTTGCTTCAAATGATCCAGTGTTCACTACAGGAATGCTGCGTTACTGAATTTTAGGTAGTGTTTGTTTTCCTATTTAAAAAAAGATTGGGTTGTTTATATTTTTATGCAATTTTAATATTTAAAATTGCAGAACCTGTAATTTTGTTTCATTGGATTACTGGAATACTGAAATAATCATTAGCTTTCAATAGCTGATTTCTTTGTCCACATTTTGTTAATGTAAAAGTATTAAGAGTTGTGAAAGTTTCTTACTGTTCCAGAAATCTGCAGGTTACTCCTCTTTTTATTATAAGCTACACTTAGATAATAAAACCAGTGAAGACATTGACTTTATGTTTCCTAATTTTATTCAGAAAAATCGAATAACGAGAAATCAAAGGGCCTTAACTGACTGGATTTCTGCGTCCTAAAAAGCATATTCAAAATTAACTGGGCTAAACACTTTTTCAATTTGTTTATAATACTTTCTTCACTTTCTTAAAGCTGTGGAGCTATATATACAATCAATATCAGACTCCATCAAAAACGAGGCTCTCAAAACTATTTTATATCCGTATTTTTGTTTGTTTATTGTTTAACTAAACATCACTTGTTTGTTTAAGTCGGTGCCGTCCGTATTCCTCTGTATATCCCTTTCCTTAGTTTGTTATGCATTTTTGAGTTTCTTTGTTTTTACTGGCCGCTGTTTCCACTCCCAATATGGCGGAAATGAAACGTCTCCGTCCAGAAGCTAGCTAACGTTTACTGTCCCAGCACGTCAAATATTGCTCTCTTACCGTAATAATGTCGTCCGTGTTCCTCGGAGAAGCAAATGCTAGCAGTGCAGAGTCCAGTTAGCCGCCAGTAATATCCGTGAACAGTCGGTTTTGCCCCCTTTTCTCTAAAACTAAACTGTTTGCTTCTTGTTCATAGTGTTAGCTTGACCGCTAGCTTTGAGGCTAACTAGTCTCCATCAGGCAGCTGTTGCTCCTAAAACAAGAAGAAACTATGTCTAAAGGCGTGTTTCAAATATCAACAAAGCTAAGAAGGAGATATGACTGTTTTAATAAAAAGCGAAGAACTCAAACTTTATTTCCTCATCTTCTTTCTTTTTGCTTTTGGGGTTGGAACGATAGCCCCATTCATCGCGCATTGCTTCCTCTTCTTCTTGTAATTATTGGCGTTTAGCAAACAACCTAAAAGTGTAGCGCTGGTGCCACCAGCTGGTAAGGAGTGTGGACAGTGGATTCTGACATCTAATTAAAAGAACACTGAAGAACTTGATATTGTAATCTCCTAATATACATTTCTCATTTCAATCTTTTTAAGGTATCATATTTCTTACAGCGTACCATAACGTGTTCAACTGTCTCTTCCTGATCACAAAACTTTTATTTTCCTCACTTTCTTCTTTTCCTACTCTCCAATTTGCTTTATTTGCTATTTCTACTGTTAGCTTTTTGTTTTATCTGCTATTTTTCTCTCGATAGAAGCTACTTCTGGTCTGGCGTTCTGATTGGCTGTGGTTCTGGAGGAGAGCGTCAGCTGAGATAATGAAGTAATAATAATGATGATTGTTAATGTTTTTGCTAATGACTTCAAAGACGTTTCCCTTGCATGCTTCAGTGTTAGGCCATATCTGTTCATTCTCTTTTTGGAGGCTTTGCGGTGAGCCTGGAGTCCAGTTTTCCGCTATTTTCTGTTTTTCAAAACTCTCTTTTTCACGTCCTGCTAGTAATGCAGTAATACGGTACACAACAGAAACGACAGACATCAAAACAGGGTAAACAGGAATCTTAATGGCTTAGAGTGACAGGGAAGAGCTCTTTAAAACTGCCAGTGTTAATGGATTAGCGCAAATTTCACTTAAAAAAAACACTGTGATGGACGTTTGGATAAAACATGCAATTTTATTTTTAATGTTAGTTTCAGTTCTCTTTGAATCACAATAAAAATATAAGAGCAAGTTCATTTCACTTCAGTCTCAGCTGATCTAAACAAGAACAACATTTGTTCAGCAGAACAGAGGAAAATAAACAACAAATTTATCATTGGAAATATTAAATATAAGAGTGACAGAAACATTTTGGTAAATAAGAATGACAGAAATCAGCTGTGATTCCATTATGGCTCCTGGATCACAGAGAACTACAATTAAACCAGACGAATAAAGAACAGAACAGCAGAGCCATCAGAACAACAAACCCTGATCAACAATCAGAAGGAGGAGAGGAGTTGGGTTTACAGAACTCTACAGAACCACAAACATAAACCCCAGCATGAAGCAGCTGAGTGAATCTGGTCTGGACTCTGTGGAGGAGAGTCATGGTCTTAGAGACGCTGTAGAAGGACAGAAGACCTGCTCCGTGATCCAGGAACACTCCCACTCTGGAGGAAACTGGACCTGAGACGGAGGTCCAGAAGTTGTTGTGGCCATAACTAAAACCACTTTGGGAACAACTCAATACCCAAGAATTGGCATTATGTCCAAATACACATTCATTTCCCCATCCTGCTTTGTTGATATTCTTGTATGCGACTCCTACATAAACTTGCTGCCCGCTCCACTCCACCTCCCAGTAACAACGTCCAGTCAGACGCTCTCTGCTCAGGACCTGGTAACATCCGGTGAATCTGTCTGGGTGTTGAGAATAAGACTGATGTTGGCACATTCGTTGTGCCTTCCTGTTCCTCTCTGATAATAACAGATTTCTGTGTGCTGTGTTTGGATCCAGAGTGATTTCACATGAATATTTTAATAATCCAGCTCTGCTCTTTGGTTCTGGTTCTGAGAATAGATTATCCACCTCAGTGACCATCAGTGAGATGTTTGTCCACGTGTCTCTCAGGACATCCTGTAGTTTACCTCCGAGACTCTTTAAGGATGTGGCAGCAGCTGAGTCACAGCTCAGAGGACGGATGTTGATGCTGGATGAGCCTTTAGGCTCCCTGGGTGGCAGTGAGGGGTAGTTGAGGAGAAACTGGTTGTGATCCTCTGTGTGTGAGAGCTGCTCCAGCTCAGCGTCTTTCCTCTTCAGCTCAGTGATCTCCTGCTCCAGCTTCTCCTGAACATCTTTGACTCGACTCACTTCATCTTCCTGCTGGGATCTGATGTGGTGCTTCACCTCAGAGCTTCTTTTCTGGAGGAGACGGATCAGCTCAGTGAAGATCTTCTCACTGTCCTCCACTGCTTCATCAGCAGAGTGATTGATGGCCTCCACCTCCTGCTGAAGCAGCTTCACATCTTTCTCTCTGTCCTGGATTCCCTGATGGATGCTTCGCCGCCTCTCCTCCAGCTCTCTCTGCCTCTCAGTCCTTTCTGCTGCAGTTGACACTGTGTCATGGTCTTTATGTTCATCCATTAAACAGATGAGACAGATACACTTCTGATCAGTGCGGCAGAACATCTTCATCACTTCATCATGCTGAGAGCAGATTTTCTTCTGGAGGTTCTTGGACGGCTCCACCAGCTTGTGTTTCTTCAGTCCAGCGACATCAAGGTGAGGTTGGAGGTGATTCCTACAGTAGGAAACCAAACAGACCAGACAGGACCTGAAGGCTTTCAGTTTCCTCCCAGTGCAGAAATCACAGGCCACGTCTTCAGGTCCAGCATAGCAGTGATCAGCAGGAGCAGCTTGGAGTCCAGTCTTCTTCAGCTGCTCCACTAAAGCTGCTAGCATGGTGTTCTTCTGCAGGAGAGGCCTTGGTGTGAAGGTCTGTCTGCACTGAGGGCAGTGGTAGATTTTCTTCTCCTCATTCTCATCCCAGAAGCTTTTAATGCAGCTCATGCAGTAGCTGTGTCCACAGGGAATCGTCACCGGATCCTTCAGTAGATCCAGACAGATCGGACAGGAGAAAGTTTCTCGGTCCACATGAACTGCCTGCTGCGCCATTTCACCTCTCAGTCACAGTGACTGTGTGAGTTTCATCTCCAGAGAACAGAAACTGGTTTGAGCTCCGATCCACCAATCACAGGTCAGTGCAGAGAAGCTGCAGCCATTCAGGTTTTACCTTCAGCAGATGTTAGCTCCACAGAGCTATTTTAGATCAGGAAGGAGAGGGAGGAACGTCAGGCTTTGATTCCAGGAAGAGAGCGGCTGTAAAAATGATAACGGTTACATTTTAAACTTCTTCACAGCATATTTCTGTTACATCTAAACTATTAAGCTATCCACTGTACCAGATCATGAAATAAAATAGTTACTGAAGAAACTGGGTTTGTTTGGATCTCAGGAACGTCTGTTATTGTTTCCTAACTTCACTATAATGGCAACACAACACACATGTACATCATGTTCACATCAGTTTATTTGCTGTTGCTGAAAATGCATCTTTATGAAAAGCTGTGACACATTTCCATGACTGACAGCAGGCAGAAGTGCTGCAGCCAGACGTGGAGGTTCTGGACATTTTTAACTCCATCCTAGCAGAACTTCACCAACATTGTTGAGTTTAGGAGTAAAAATCTGCTTCAACCACAGAATACCCAGAAAACATTTCATTTATATCTCACGCCACCTAACAATGATAAATCTTTACTGGTGGATTTTAAAAGCACATTCCTTTCACTGTAGCACTGAAATCCACAAATCACCACTGCAATACCAATCATACCAATCATTTTACAATGATTTTACCTGCTACTTTAATCTATGCCAAATAAACTCCTGAACACATTAAACACACATTAAAAGTAAATACTTTTTACAATCAACACACCTTTTGACTCTTCGGACGCCGGGCTGCCAGTTTTAAACAATGTTTGTTGTTGCTCCATGAAAAGTGCCGTAGTAACCGCAGTACTAACCGCTGTATTTGGGGGAAAACAAACCAGATAGAAAATGCTAATTCAAAAGTAAACAGTTCCAACCAGAAGTTAAGGACTTCACTACATAAACATCAAGATAATTGGAAAAATAAAACATTCAAATTTGATGTAATAAAAAAAACGGTTATTTGCACTATTAACATTTGAACAGGAAAGTGTCTTCACTTGTGACATTATTGCATAGTTTTATTTTAGTTCTATTTTTATCTATACTTCTGTTGTTTTTATACTTTTAACAATTTTAGTTTCATTACATTTGTAGCTTTTTCTCAGTAGCTAAGTTGAATGTTACTATCAACCTTACAGTTAAAATGATTAATTGTAAGTTTGAATTCTTTTTTACTAAACTCTGGTATGTAGGAGAAAAGTTGTCTGTATTTATTTCACACACGTCGCATCAGATCACGCCAGCGCTGGATGGACTTGAGCTTTTACCTGTTCGTTTTACACCCAGGCCCTAACAGGCAGGTAATTATAAACATAACTGAGGTTGAACTATTTGACTATTTTTTTTATATTTCAGGTGTAAAATCAACCATTTTGATCTAAGTTAATATTTTTATCAGTAATTGCCCAAACCAAAATTAGACTCCTATTGCACCACAATATAATGAAAAGAAAACTTTCCAAATTTCACTGGACTTAAGTTGTTTTATTGAAGAAAGCCAATCAGAGAGAGCAGTACAAATATTAAAACTAAATTATTAGATTTTCATGTGGAGAAGTAGCAGCAGTGGTTTAAGGAACTACACATAAATGCTTTTGACAGGAACTCGACAGGGAGCAGGTGACCCCTGACCCCTGACCCTGTCCTGGCCTCACTTCACTGGCTGCCTGTATATTTTAGGATTCATTTTAAAATTCTTATGTTTGTTTTTAAATCACTACATAATCTTGCCCCGCTTCTTCACCCCACATACCTTATCGGTCTCTCAGGTCCGCAGATCAGCTGCGCTTGGAGGAACCGAGGTCCAGCAGGAAGCTCAGAGGGGACAGGGCTTTCTCTGTCATGGGCCCCAAATTATGGAACAACTTGCCTTTGCAGGTCGGAGAGGCCCCTTCACTGTCCACTTTTAAAGCTCGTCTTAAAACCATCTATTTCACTTGGCTTTCAACTCCAGCGGGATCCAGTTTTAAATTGTATGTTTTTGTTTTTAAACTGTAAGTTTTTATTTTACGTTTGTTTTTGTTATGTTGTGTTTTGATGTCTGGACTCTGTAGAGGAGAGTCGTGGTTTTAGAGACGCTGCAGGACAGAAGACCTGCTCTGTGATCCCGGTACAGTCAGACTCTGGAGGAAACCGGACCTGAGATGGAGATTCGTATGTTCTGACCAAAACTAAAACCACTTTGGAAACAACTCAGCGCACTCAGATTTTCATTATGGCCAAATCCACATTCATTCACACCTTCAGCTCTGTTAATACTCTTGTAAGCAACGGTTATATTATATGAACTTGTTTCCCTCTCCACTGCACCTCAAAGTAACAACACCCAGTCAGACTCTCTACTCAAAACCTCAGTCCCATCAGTGAATCTGTCTGGATGACTAGAATAATATGTTGACATATTCTTTTTGTGTACTGCACAATTTCTAAAAGCAATAAACCAGACAGACAGACAAGGGCAAGAACCGACATAGCAAGAAAAGATAGCACAAGTAGCAACATTCAAGTCATGGCCAGCCAAGGCAGTGACATCAGGGTAACAAAGAAAAGTGTCTGCGGTTTGACCATGAATTTTGTACAGCCTGCTCTCCCATCCAAAACAGTTTCTGAAAGAGATGGCATTATCTCAGAGCATGTCCTTGAGTCTGGTCATACGATTCCATGGTTTTCATTCGGACGGAGGGAGGAGACTTTCTGCATGGAGTTTGCATGTTCTCCCTGTGCATGGTGGGTTCTCTCCAACTTCCTCTCTCCAGCTTCCTCCCACAGTCCAAAACATCACTGTCAGGTCTCTCTAAATTGTCCCTAGGTGTGTGAGTGTGTGTGTGCATGGTTGTTTGTCTCTGTGTTGCCCTGCGACAGACTGGCGACCTGTCCAGGGTGTCCCGACCCCACTAAGGGACAAGCGTGTACAGAAAATGGATGGATGGATTTTACACCAGATAATAAACTCCTGACTATCCAAACAGAATCCTACTTTAAAATTTGTAAAGCTGCAGCTCCTATTTGCTTGTGCTTTTTTACTGAAGGCTGTTTCTCTTCACAATATGGCAGAAACAGACATTTCGCTGCAAATGAGCTAGTGAGTGCTATATCTAACTAGTACTCATTTTAAGGTAGATTCTCAGCCCATCTTTATAGATTCTGAATACCACATCGTTCTGAAAGTCCTAATCCACGCCACCTACCATTAGGTGGCGCACGATTGTGTTGTTTTTACAATAAACACCAGAATAAGTACAAGAGGAGAACGAAAAAGACTAAGTTGCGTCAATATTTCGCTTTCTTCTATTTAATTCCAACTTTCTGTATTTAATGTACCATTTATAAGCTTTGATAGTATTTCTTAGTTTGTCTTTAACACCGATTTTTCCCTGGTTTACCAGCAACAGTAGCCCGACGAAGACTTGTTAGCCCCCGAGCTAACAGAGAAGCTAACTGTTTCCTTAAAGAATAATTGGGACAAAAGGAGACTTTATATTGAACATATTGGACATTTACTGGAGTCTGGTCGGTTTACAGTCTTTCTCGGACGAACAAACACGTCAAGAGTCGGTAAGAGAGCGATATTTGGCGATTTGTTGCATTAAATCCTAGCTAACAGCTTCTTATGCTGCGAGCTGCTGTGACACGTCAGCGTCTCCGCCATATTGGGAGAGGAAAGAGCGGCCTGTAAAGGGTAAAAGTGAATGAGGAAGCTGCGGTTTGAAAAGGATCCAGTACAGTTCGGTGTTTGAATTTAACATAAAATACATACATTTTTCAAACATAAGTGTTTATTCTCATTCTTTTAAGGTTCTTTGACCGTCTCTCTAGGAATACATGTGAAAATAACCTTCTGGAAATGATGGCATATCAACAAAGTATTTAATATGCACTGTTCATGCAAAATAAATAAATAAATTTAAAAAAAATCCGTCAGCATTACCTATGTGTAGTAAATTTATATTTTGTATTTATTAATGTTGTGAACAGCTCTCCACATCACAACCTGGAAAGTTCTGAGATTTTACTTCTGAATGTTAAGGTCTGAATACATTTAAATAAAAAGATGGAGGGTGAGAGATGGCTTTGGAAAATTTCTGTCCATATATAACTTATGTTTATCCTTTAGTCCGACCTTCCATTCAGTTGTCCATAGAATATGTATTATTCTGCCCATTTAGCCAACTCCTGGACCAAATAATTGGAGTGGTTACACCAAAAATGGCAGTAAAAGACTTGTAGATAAGAACACACTTAAAAAAGAATGACTATTTATATGTCTGACTTGATATTTATCTTTATTCTTGTAATATTAGTTTCCTCAAGACAAAGAAACAACAGCTTGCTTGCAACCTAAAATGTCCTTTTAGGTTTGGTGGTACAACCCAATCCAGTGTTCTGTTCAGATCCATTCAGGCTTTGCTTGGTGACCTTTCCTGGTGTAGAAATGATGTATGAAAAATGTCCAAATGTTCAAAATTATCTGTTAAAATCAACAGCCTTGATTTATGATGAAATGACTTGAGCTTCCACTAGGGGCAGCATGCATGATGGTACACAAATGGAATATTCAATGAAATTATGTGGAATAACCACATTTTCTTTCCTCACATAAATGCATTTTAACCCCATTAATAAGCCCCAATTCTCTCTTTTTAACGCAGGCTTTCCACGGCATCATGTCTGTCATCACGTGGGAGGTCGTTGGCGATCACTTTCTCATCAACCAAGCAAGCAACTCCATTCTTGACTGTAACGAAGGCAATGCGGTGGAGGAGAAACTGGAGGAACCAGAAGATCGATTAATTAAAGAAGAAGAGATCGAAATTTGCATCATTCAGGATGAAGAGCGGGTTGATGTGAAGAAGGAAACTTGCACATGTATTCTGACTTCCACTTGTGAGGAAACGTTTCACGGTGAGCCAGAACTCCAGCAGATGTTGGGGAGAAAGGATGAACCAGAACCAGAACAAACTGATAAGGAACCAGTTGAAGGCAGTGCCTTCCAGGAAGACGACCAGCGAGGAGTGAAGCGAGAGACGGACACCTTTATGGTGACACCTTCTTGTGAACCAGAACCAAACAGCGACATCGTACAAGACAGAAACTTTTCTTGTGAAGTTTGTGGTAAATGCTTTACTAAATCTAACTATCTGACTGATCACATAAGAACCCACTCGGGTGAAAAACCCTTTTCATGTCTAACCTGTGGGAAAGGTTTCACACAGAAAACTAACTTGATTGTACACATGAGAACCCACACTGGCGAAAAGCCCCATACCTGTCAATTATGTGGGAAGTCTTTCAGAGCCAGCGGCCATTTGGCTAGCCACATGAGAACTCACACGGGGGAGAAGCCTTTCTCATGTTTGGTCTGTGGGAAAGGCTTCACCCAGCAAAGTAACTTGACTGTTCACATGAGAACTCATTCTGGAGAAAAACCTTACTCCTGTGATGTTTGTGGGAAAGCCTACAGTGACAAAACATACTTAAATGACCACATAAGAAGCCACACAGGTGAGAAGCCTTATTCTTGTAAAGTTTGTGGTAAATCCTTCAGTAACCGGAGTCCTTTGACCAACCACATGAGAACTCACACAGGTGAGAAGCCGTATCACTGCAAAACCTGTGGTAAAGCTTTTAGCGACTGTAGCAATCTGGCTAAGCACATGAGAACCCATACAGGTGAGAAGCCCTACTACTGTAACGTTTGTGGTAAAGCTTCTAGTGACAGCAGTAGCATGGCTAAGCATATGAGAACCCACACGAGTGGGAAGCTTTATGCGTAAGTTTTTTGAAGTTCTTCCAGAAATAATAAGCAGATTACATAAAAACTCTGTTTATTCTGTCTGAGCTGTTGAATGGCTCCTAAATCCATCTCCAGGTGCCTATTTGCTGCCGGATGTGGGGTTCATCTTGGACAGGCAACACAGGACAAACAACCATCCAAGCATCCATTATCAAACACACTTATTGCCTGTGAGGTCCTGAGAGTGCTGGTGCCTTTCTCCAGCTGTCAACGGGTGAGAGGCGGGATCACTCTGGACAGGTCGCCTGTCCATCACAACTTTATTTAAATTGATTAATTACATTTTTGGCAACAAAAATAACAATAATCATAATTGAAAAAAAAAAATCAAAAATTTTCAGGTTCTAAATTCTTTCAGTTTAATTTTTTTTCAGTTTCAAAAAATGTTTTCAAATCAAAAAAATATTTTGAACAAACTTTATGGCCACAATTTATCTCCATAGATTTCTTTTAAATGTGTGAGGAGTCATTCACTCCCAGAGAGAAATTGCTGCTAGGGATGTTCTAGAAATGACCAAAAGGAGCATTTTATTTCATAACTATGACAAAACCACTTACAGCTTATTCAAAGTGCCTTACTGATGGTGCATTACAAACTCATTAGTGTATCTCTGGTCCTTTTCCCTGCCCAGGTTGTTAAAAATTTAGCCTAACTTGTTAACGTCTTGCCTGGATGATTCTGCATACTGAATAGAAATTACCCCAATTTCTTTTTTTAATCTGGTGGTCATCTTAATTTTCAAATATCAAAAAAATTATTGGAACTGACATATCTGATCCATAACACATTTTCTCAAATTTCTGTAATCACAAATAATTTCTAAAAAAAAAAAATCCCAACAAATGTTGCTGCAGTGAGAGGAAATTAGATTTCTGGTTGGTTTTGTTGTGAAAATTGGACATATTATGGTTCTTGCAACTGTATATTACATTAGTTTTTTTCTTAGTATATAACAGACATGTTTTATTATTTTTTAATTAAAACATAATTTAAGGCAACATTTTTCCCTTGAAGCCTTTTATAAAGACTGAATTTTATTTGAATTTGGAATTATGTATTAGTTCCTTTTATCAAAGAATTATTTTGATGCATGGGTCTTTGATTATTATGTGTTATTTGTGTGAAAAACATTGTGTATTTTTATGCATTTGCACTTTTATTATTCATTAGCAGTATTTATATTATCTTTATGGAAGACGCTGTTTGTGTGAAATGTGTATAAATCCACCAAGACTGACTTCTAACTCGTTTGTTTCTGGCACTACACCCCCCTCTAGTGGACAGAGTTAAACCTGTTTGACGATTAAGTAAGACTTTTTAACTGGAAACTGAAAAGTTTACCTTGATTAGTTTCCTTTGCTTCAGTATAGATTTATAAATTATTCCTATGGCATAAGAATGTTTTTCTTTTTTAAACACAGGAAACATAATGGAACTGTTATTGCTCCTCTGCAAATTATGCTGAATCTACCAACATCCGTGTGAGAAGCCATTTCCTTGTGAGTTGTGTGGGAAATCTTACATAGCCAGTTGTGATTTGGCTCGTCACATCCGGATTCACCCAGGTGAGAAGCCGTTTTCCTGTGGCTTGTGTAAGAAATCATGCAGAACCAGCAATGACTTGGCTTTTCATGTCGAAACTCACACGGGACAATCTGTGTTCTCATAAAGTGTGTGATAAATCTTTCAGTGTCAGAAACTGTTTGCTCCACTACGAACCCATTTAGGTCAGAAGCTGTTTTCTTGTGACTCATGAAAAGTCCTTTGACTAGAATAGTGATCTGACTTGTCACTTAAGAATTCACATGGGCTAGAAACCATACTCTTGAGAAGAATGTGACTGTTATCACCCTGCAGATCACCTGGAATAAAGTGGAGGTGAGGCTGTTTTCCTATAGAACAGAAAATATTTTATTTGATTGACAGCCGCACTACAGTGATGCATTTTATGGCAGCTACGTTTGTGTTTAATACATTGTGACTTCTATGGATTTATAAATTGCAAAGCTTTGTTTATTTGTTTATTTCAGGCACTGGTCACAAATTCAACATTTGTGATGAATAGCTTTGATCACATTTCTATGTAGAAATATTTCAATATTGCAGCCAACCATGTATCTACTGAACATTGGCTTGAAGAGGGTGAATATGTATTCAATCTCTTGTTTGACGTCTGATTTTTAAAAATTGTCATTACTTAGAAATCAGTTTTCACTTTGACAAAGGTATTTTTCTTTATTAATTGAATTAATTAAGCCTAATTTTGTTCCTCATGGTTGATTTGTAAAGTAATAAAATGGGCAAAACATTCAAACGGATAAATACTTTTTATAGGTACTGCATAATACGTGGATGACTTGTATCCATGGACAGAAACTGTTTTGAAAGAGGGGCTAAATCTGTTGAAATGATTTCAGCTCAAACCCTGAATACAGAAATTGAAACCGTTTAAGAAAAAAATAATTACTTCGAATGTGTTGTGTGAGGGGTTTAAAATTGTGTTTAGTATGTCTAAAAAATTATGAGGTAGATTGTAATTTTTACGAAAGATCTGTTTACGTCCTGTCGAGTAAGAGGCGGTATTGTACTTACAATTCGGTTGTCAACTACAAAATAAAGCCGAAGAAGAAGAAGAAGAAGAAGAAGAAGAAGGAAAAAAAAAATTAAAAAATAAATAAAACAAGGGAATCGGCGGGTCCGTTCTCTGTATGTAAAGCGTTCTTCTCCTTTTGTCTCATTATGAGTATTAATAGTATTTGCAGTCAATCTTTCGCAGCGATATTTTTTTCTGTTTTAGGAACTCCAACAGCCTGATTGGAGGCTTTTCAGTTAGCCTTCGAGCTAACTGAAAAGCTAACTCTGAGAAGAGACGCAGCAGCTAGTTTCCGGTCAGAGAATAGTGTTTTAATACAGCTTCATAACTGAATGATGTGCTGCAAACATCACGTCTTCTAAATACTGAAACATGGCAGTCCAGCAAAAGAGCTATTTTTCACTAACTGTGAGTAAATGCTTGGCAGGAGCTGCTTTGACTGCTACGTCTTAAAACACGTCAGAACAGCCGCCATATTGAAAGGGGAAACAGCGGTTAGTAAAGATGAACTGCTGCAGTTTTAACTTGATTGCAAGGCTTATGGTAAATAAAACTATACATCGTACTAGTTGGGCATTTCTTGACACTAGAGTCTACCGCAAGGACACAGGGTTTTATAACTCCAAGATATCAGCACGGATCATAAAATATGATGCATTTATTGTTATAAACAAGTTGAGCAAAAGACAAAGCCATGGTCAAATTAATCAACTGTGCAAAAATATTGAATAAATCATATTCTGATTTTCTTTATTTAAAACTACTATATTTATATAGTTTTTACATGATGAGTCCAGGGCTTCCAATTGAATTTATCCTAAATTATGATTGCTAAGAACTTTCAGTAAGTTTACTTAATATGAACCCAACATTTTTCCAGATGTCTTTGAATATTTATTGAAAAATTAAAACCTCTAATTAAGCTTTTGCCCATTGTTTTCTCAAACGAGGCTTCAACATTGGCATTTCTTGCGTCAGGAATAGTAGATTAACCAATTAACTGCCAGCCCAATCCTTAACATTCACAGTAAAGTGAGTAAAGAGAATAAACTAAGGTGAGAGGCCGGACTAGCTGCTCCTCCTCTGCAGAAAGAGAAAATAACGGAAATACAGACAACTTCTCTCCAAAATATATGAACTTAACAAAATAATTCAAACTTCCAGGTAAAACACTATCAAACTTACAAATCTAGTAACACTCAACTAAACTACAAAGTAAAAATGAAAAACTGAAAGCTTATGAACAACCAAAAAGTAAACATTTAATATTGTTACTATTTTATTAACTAAAAAGAACAACAGAAGTTAAGCTAACTTCCAGTGAGCATATGCTCTGACGTAGTTTTTACTATTTTATTGGGGCTTTTCTGTACATTGGAGGATTTGGGTCAACAAAGGTGAAGAGGATGATGAAGGAGAAAGTTTTAATTGGCTGAGCAAAAATTGAATTTGTTTGCTGACAAAGTGATGTTTCTAGGTCCTCATCTTATCTGTTGCTTGTGTAAAAGCATTTTGTCCTAATTGTCAATATTAAATTGCTTTGTTCTTCCTTCAGGTCCCAAACAGCATCATGTCTGTTAACATTTGGGTGGTTTCTGGTGATCAGTTACTCATTCAACCAGTAAGCAACTCCACTCATGACCACAACTTACCAAATGATCTAGAGATGGAAAAGGAACATGAGAAACCAGATCTACTGCAGATTACAGAGATGAAGGATGAACCAGAATATCAACAGATCAAAAAGGAACATGTTGAGTTTGACGACTTTAATAACATGAAATCTGTCGTCAAGCAGGAGGCCGACACCTTTACGGTGTGTGCTGGTTATGATGACACATTCCAGAGCAAACCTGAACTGCTGCAGATGATAGAAGTAAAGGAGGAAACAAAGCCAGAACAGATTAAAGAAGAAATGGAGGAACTAGAAACTTTTCAGGTTAAACAGGAAGAGGAGGAACTCTGCAGTCATCAGGATGAAGATCAACTTTTAGTGAATCAAGAGGCCATTAGAGAGAATCTTATTTATGATAAAAAAGATCTCAGCGAACCAAACTCAGACCAGATCCACTCTTCAAACTCCCCTGAAGCTGAAGACTAAACCCAGAGAGGAATGTCTTTATCTCCAACATCAGAGGGAGAAGAAGAGCTGAGCACTGAGAAAGAACATCAGAAGGTGCCTTCTTGTGAAATATGTGGAAAACGTTTCATTCAGCAGAGGTACTTGGCTGATCACATAATTATTCACACGGGTGCAAAACCGTTCCGGTGTGGGACTTGTGGAAAATGGTTCACCAGGAAAACTACCTTGAATTTTCACATGAGAATCCACACCGGTGAGAAGCCATATACCTGTGAAGTCTGCAGTAAGTCGTTCAGCTACAGCAGTGGTTTGGTTCGTCACCTGAGAATCCACACGGGTGAGAGGCCGTTTTTGTGTCAGACCTGTGGAAAAAGCTTCGCCGATGGAGGTAGCCTAAGCACTCACATCAAAGTTCATCTGGTAGAGAAACCATTTCCATGTAGATCTTGTGATAAATCTTTCAGAAACAGCCGAGATCTGGTTCGTCACTCCACACTCCACACAGGCGAGAAACCGTTCTCGTGTGGATTGTGCGGAAAGAGCTACCCAAGTAGAGGCAGCCTGAAAACACACTCCAAAGTCCACATGCATCAGAAGCCATTTGTGTGTGAGCTGTGTGCTAAAACTTTCACAAACAGGACTAACTTGGTCCGCCACAGGAGGACTCACACAGGCGAGAAACCGTTTTCCTGTACAGCATGTGGTAAATTTTTTAGTGACAAGAGCACTCTAATTAGACATGTGAGAAGTCACACAGGCGAGAAGCCATTTTCCTGTAATTTTTGTGAAGTGTCTTTTACGGACAACAGTCAACTGACCCGTCACCTGAGGACCCACACAGGAGAGAAACCATTCTCGTGTGTGACCTGTGGGAAGAAGTTCTCCAAACCGTACAGTCTGACTATGCACTTCCAGACTCATACAGGCGAAAAGCCGTTCTCCTGTCAACAGTGCGGTAAATTATTCACTGCCAGATGTAAGCTGACTGCACATATATGTAGAAATAAACCTTAGAAAGATGTTAGTTTGTAGAACATTATTTATTTGATCTGAAGAGGGACTATAACTATTATGATTTATCTACTCTGTTTTTTCTTTTACCTGTATGCACGTCATTTCACACCCGTATGCTTAAACCATGGCAGAAACATATTTTGTTGTCCTCATGGATTTTAATGAATTGTGGAGATAAATAGTAAAAATGCTCAAATTCATCCCTCTATTGTTGGTACGCTTAAATATGGGTCCATTTACTTCAGGGGTCCCCAAACTTTTTCCTGTGAGGGCCACATAACTTTTCCCTTCTCTGGTGGCGAGCCGGACATTGTTGACTGGGGGCGTTTCTCACAATTTATTTTCACAATTAACAAATA